TTTTATTTTTCAGAAATAAGAATTAGACATGCTTGCAGTAAAATATCGATTATCGCTAAATTCAGCTCGACAAGTTCTCGCTGCCGGTATCAATTATAGAAAAGAACAGAAACGATATGCAACTTTAAATATGCAAACACTAAATCCTCTTGTCAAAGAGGTCGAATACGCTGTTCGAGGTAAAAAGCTCGACTGTTGATTTTCATCATGATGTCTCTATGTTTGTTTAATTCATAAGGTCCGATTGTTATTCGTGCAGGAGAAATCGAACGTCAATTAAAGGTAACCATATCTGTTATCGTATCTTGTGATTGAAAAAAAAGAACATCATACCTATAACGTTATTGAAAAGAAAAGAAACATACCCTTTTGAGAATGGAGAGAAAAAGATATATTTGTGCACTTGACTTTAACACGTGCGAACGTTTGTTGGTATTTTCTATATGAATAGAGTCGAACCTAAGGTCAATGCAAATACTTCCTTGATTGCAAATCTTTCGTTTGATAAAGAAAACAGTTGAGTCGCTCGCGTAAAAGAATCGCTATGGCTATGAATAAAAGTCTATCGATTGAAAATTTGAATCCACATATTATAAGTGTCGAGTATGCTGTTCGAGGCCCAATTCTTACCCGTGCGAAGGAGATTGAAAACGAAATGAAATCGGTATTGTTATATTTGTTACTCACACTTCAACATTGTTCATTTTCAGGGCAAGCACGATTACCCTTTCGATCGAGTTATTCGAGCTAATATCGGTGATTGCCATGCTAGCGGTAATCAAGCACCAATTACATATATTCGACAGGTTCGTATATCAATTAATTTTTCCTTTTCGATGAATCCAATCCAAATTGCTGACGATAGTTTGTAGCCGGATGTACTTATCCCGAGGTAATGAATTCGCCTGACTTTCCACGAGATGTTAAACAACGAGTAGAACGTTTACTATCAGCATGTGGCGGTAAAAGTCTTGGTTCATATACGGAGAGTCAAGGCATAATCACTATACGAGAAGATGTTGCAGCCTATATTCAACAGCGGGATGGCTATCCAGCTGATGCAGGTAACATTTATCTCTGTAATGGAGCTTCCGATGGTATTAAAACTGTCATCAAGCTTTTAATGAATAACGATCCAGCCAAACCATCAGGAATTGTAAGTGACGGTTTATTCCAAGTCTTATGTGTATGTCTGATTTCGATTGACTAGATGATTCCTGTACCACAATATCCACTCTACAGTGCAACTTTATCTGAATATGGCGCACATCAAATTGAATATTATCTCGACGAAGATAACAATTGGGCTCTAAATATTGATGAATTGGAGCGTTCGTTGAATGAAGCGAAGAGTAAATGTGTTCCGCGCGGTATCGTAGTTATCAATCCGGGAAATCCCACCGGTAAATATGAAATATGAGAGTTTGTTTTCCAGAAAGAAATGTCTGTTCTATATCTTGATTAGGCCAAGTACTTGCACGTGATAATATTGAAAATGTAATTCGATTTGGTAAGGACAACGGTCGAAATCGATTTCTTCGTTTATGAATACTTTCATTTAGCACATAAACATCAATTATTTGTCATGGCTGATGAAGTCTATCAAGAAAATGTTTATCTACCAGGTTCGAAATTCTTCTCATTCAAAAAAGTTCTCATGGATCTCGGTGCACCTTACAATCAAATGGAAATGGGTATGTTAAGCGAACGCGTTTCCTTGAAGAAATTCATCATGATTTGTTTCTTTTCTTTTCCATCTCAGCCTCATTTCATNTTTCATTTAGCACATAAACATCAATTATTTGTCATGGCTGATGAAGTCTATCAAGAAAATGTTTATCTACCAGGTTCGAAATTCTTCTCATTCAAAAAAGTTCTCATGGATCTCGGTGCACCTTACAATCAAATGGAAATGGGTATGTTAAGCGAACGCGTTTCCTTGAAGAAATTCATCATGATTTGTTTCTTTTCTTTTCCATCTCAGCCTCATTTCATTCGGCATCGAAAGGTTGGCATGGCGAGTAAGTCGAAACCGATATTCGCGCGTAGACAACAATCTAATTCTATCTATAAATATAGATGTGGCTCTCGTGGTGGTTACTACGAGTTAATCAATCTTGACAAAGATGTTCGAATGCAAGTAAATAAACTAATCTCAGCATGTCTATGTTCGACATCGTGGGGTCAAGCTGTCATGGGAGCGATCATAAGTCCACCAAGAGAAGGTGAAGAATCGTATGAACTGTATAAGAAAGAACGAACGATGGTTGTTAATCGATTGAAGGAAAAAGCTGATCTTGTCAGCCAACTGTTCAATTCAGTTGAAGGTGTACGCTGCAATGCTGTTATGGGGTGAGTACCACGAAGATTATTACTTTCGATCATCAACCGAATTCTCGGCTATTTCAGAGCAATGTATGCATTTCCTCGTATCGAAATTCCGAAGAAAGCCATCGAATATGCAAAATCGAAGAAAATGGCACCTGATGCATTTTATTGTTTTCAATTACTTGAAAAGACCGGCATTTGTGTTGTACCCGGTAGTGGTTTTAAACAACGACCTGGAACACATCATCTTCGCACAACGATTTTGCCACCGGTTGATCAAATGAAAGATATGGTTGAGCGTTTTCGCACATTTCATATGTCATTTCTACGAGAATGGAAATAGATCTGTTCAGCTTACAGCTGTTTATTTTTTATATTCTAGTAGAAGAATCTTTTATAAACGTCTTTTTTCCTTTCGTGAATATGTAACCTTCCGATCTTCCGATTTGTTTTGTATCTAAACATGAACGTTCATTGTCATTTTTCGTTAGTTAGAAGCTAATATTCATGTTTACATGAGCGAACAAGCGTTGAAAAAATAAGAACAAATAAAGTTTCCAAATAAATCATTCATTTCAGTAGAATCGAATCTAGTTATTCTTTTTAGCTTAATAATAGCTGATAAAACGAAGATAAAATCAAACTGCTTCAGTTATTTCACATTCTATTATCTAGGAAGCATAAAATATTGATAGGAAGTCGTTGGGAACACAAGCACGGTGTCACGAGTTAGAAATGACGCGTTATGTGAAAAAAAAACGATAGAAATATTTGTTGTTTACGTAGTATATCACATAGACTCATCGAGGATGAGTCAATTCCGCTCGAGTTCGGGGGTAGAACCGAAACGGCTATAGTAGTGACGCAAATGATAGGAACGAGAGAACGAGAATCTCTCCGTCTTCTAGCGACATATTACGAGACATTAATCATCGCCAATTATTGAGGTTCTTCATTATTTCCAAATGATCACTTCAAATGAAAAAAATATATTACATCTAAGGACTAAACTTCACGTTGAAATGAATCATCTGTAGGAGAAGATGAATGTCAGCGGCAATGGAATTTTTTTGCACTGTGAAATATGACAAAGCATTTTTTTATGTGTTGTTCTCCATGACAAGAGCAACATATAAAGAAAGAAAGAAAGAGATTGAGATGTAGGATGTTTGATTCGAGTTTAACGAAATCGATTGTATGCGTCCGCAAAAATTTTCATGACAAATGCGTCGTCATCGTCAGCTTTATTTCTCTCGCATATTATTCATCCAACCTACGAACATGCTTATATAACTCTTCCTTTTCTTTTCTGAATTGACATAATAAAAAGTGAAAGGACATCAAGTAAAACGAACATTGAAAACAACGAAGGCAAGCATTAAATCGGTAAGCGATAAGCAGCTAACGTTTTCGATAAGACATGAACAACCCGATTCCCTTTTGAACTAGGAAACTTAGTGATTTCAGTTATACTCAAAAACAACCCTCTGGAGAGTGTAAAGTATCTGGGGGTGATGACGGAGGGGAGCTGTAGATAACGATTTCTTCTCCTTGTTTGTCAAAAGTATAAATACATGTTGACTAGTACGCATTCGTTCGAAAAGGTTCCTGTTTCTACTCGTACTTTTTTGTCATGATTCAAATTCTAGAACAGAATAGAAACCGCCATACGTCATGTTTTCTCGCTCTTTCTACATAAAAGAATATTTGTATAATTCGATGAACTGCTGTTGTGATTATTAGTATTAATAGCATCATATAGGCGATTTTACTTTTAGAATAGTGATCATGTTGCATCGTAGACGTGAGGTCGTACCATTCAATGAAATCCAGGGTGTCACTTCGACAAATGTTTGTGCCTACTCCAATGGTGATGATCATTTTTTCTCGGTTGAACGTCATTATTATCATGGCATCTTTTTGGGCTTCAAATGGGAATGTATCGAATTCGCCCGTCGATGGCTTTTAATGCGTAAAAGCTGCATTTTTTCTGGCATACCCTACGCTGCTGCTGATATATGGACTAAATTGCAAGCACTCGAACGTGTTACCGATGGCAAACAAATTCCCCTCATCGCACATCTAAATGGCACATCAGATAAACCTAAACGAGATTCCTTACTTATCTATCCACGTAGTCCAGCGTTACCATTTGGTCATGTTGCGATTATATGTGATGTTGTACCCGGTTACATTCGTATTGCTGAACAAAATTATGAATATTACAATTGGTCGGACGATTATTCTCGGGAAATTCCATTGAGATTCGAAAATAATTGTTATTACATCGAAGATCAACATGAAGTTTACGGATGGATGGAAATTGATGATATTGAAAATTTAGAACCATTGGACGAGACTAAACTTGATTTGATCTTGAAGCAATATCAACAAACCAATTCGATGGGCACATTAGAACGATGTGTAATACCAAGCAAAACGTCCACGTTATCATTTGCATGGTTGAATGAGAATGATAAAGCTGAGCAATTGTTTATGCAACTATATGGAACAGATTTGATACGTACAGACACCAATACTCTACCTTTTTACAAAGCGAATCAAGATTTACTGTTGAATATTGGCGGTGTATCGAATGAACTACATGAAATGTTTCTTCATGCAACTGAATATGTTTTAGAAAATGATGATGTTTTGAGACATTTCTGCATTCCGGAAGTGTTCTGGCCGAAAATTCGTCAATCGTGGTTGAATGAAAAACAGTTAACGATGACAGGACGATTTGATTTAGCTTTCAACGGAAAAGAAATCAAAGTTTTTGAATACAATGCTGACAGTGCTTCCGCTCTATTTGAAATGGCTGTCATCCAAGAGAAATGGGCGCAAACGATTAATTTCGAACGAACATTCATGTCGGCATTTCAACTGCACAACATTCTGGTGAAGAACTGGAAGAAATTCTTGTCGATTAAACGTGTACATATTCTAATCGATACCGATCAAGAAGAATTATTAACTGCTTATTATATGCAGAATGTTTTGAAAGATGCGGGTATTGATTCGAAAATATGCATCATAACTAATGATCTGTATTGGAAGGATTCGAAGATAGTCGATGGTGACGGTTATGAAGTTGAATTAGTATGGAAATTATGGATGTGGGAAACAGTTTTTAGTAATTATCTTCAATGTGAAAAGGAAGGAACTTTAAATCGACAAAACAATGGTGAACATCCATATCTACATCAGGTTCTCTTAAATGAACACATTAAGGTGATCGAACCATTGTGGAAAGTGATTCCAAGCAATAAAGCCATCTTACCTGCCCTATGGTTACTATATCCAAATCATCCAAACCTTTTACGTAGTGAATATATTTTAACCGATGAATTAAAACAAGTTCCATTTGTCAAGAAACCCATCGTTGGCCGTTGTGGTCATAATGTCACTCTGTTTGATGTTAACGGTGAAGCAGTTATCCACGAAACTCAAGGAATATTCATCGATCGAAATTGTATATATCAAGAACTATTTTCGTTAACAAATTTCGATGGATATTATCCAATTATTGGAAGTTGGATTATTCATGGTTTATTTGGTGGATTTGGTATACGCGAAGATAAAAAATTGATCACCGATGCTGAAAGTCCAGTGACTGCTTGTTGTATAGTTTGGAAATAAGCATAGAAAATCTTTTTTTTTTCAAGTTTCTGAACGACACCTTTACTTTTTTTCCTTCTCGTTTGTAATTATCAACTGAACGATTTTTTTTCTTTTCATCTTTTTTTTTGTCAAATACCGAATATAAGCAAGTTTTCGCATCCGTGACGTATATGACTTTGTATTCTCGAATGACTATTAACAAAAGATCTGAAGACTTCATCAAGTAACAAATTTTAATAGTATTCTTTAAGAAGTATGTCATTTGCTTGTTGCACGCAAAAACAAACTAGCCTAGCAGAGAGAAAACAAACAAACAAACGTTGTCGAACATATACAAAGATATTTGATCATTGTCATATTTTGTACAGAGAAAGAGAGAAAATAGGAGGAGGAGGAGGAGGAGAAAGAGAAGACGTCTATTTTTCTAAATGACTATTAGTTCGATGTGTAGGTGAGGATGACGATGCTCTCGAAGGATTATTTCCGTTTGTGAGATTGTCGTTGGTCGCGATCGAATTATGATCGTTATTGGTGAATTCAGTAATTCGAACCGAAACGCCGTCGACAGTGATGGTTGTGGTTGTGTGAGTTGAAGATGAATTCGACGATGTCGATGATGAGGACGACATGGATGAAAGAGAGGATAATTTGGTCTTTTTTCTAAAGAATTCAATCGGAGATTTAAAAAAAGGCTAATTGGATTTCTTACTTTTTCTGCTGCGCATGATTTTTCGATTTGTTTTGATCATTCGCTGCTGCTGCTCCTGCTGTTGTTGCTCTGGACTTCTGATTATGATCGTTTGATTGTCGTTGTTTTGTGTCTTTCGATTTCGTCGATGTGTGCTTCGAAGACTTCTTTTGCTCATTATCATTGTTTGTACTTTTTCGATTGACAATCAGTGACGATGCTGATTTAGTGGAACGCGATAGAGAATTGAATGTTGCACGTTTCTTAGTCGTTGACGCTCTCGCATGATCATTCAATTTCGAAGATGAAGACGGAGAAGCTGAGCGATACGATTGATTTGTTGTAGTGGACGATGCCGGAGAAGATATGCTCTCATTGAAATGATCGGTTGGAAATGAGCGTCGTGTGTGATTCGGTTGCGATTGAGTACTTTTTCGTTGCTCATGATGAAACTCTTCGTCGTCATCATCATCATCGTCGTCATCTTGTCCATCGCTATCTTCAGTTGTTGAAGCATCAGACGAGTAATCTTCATTCGTTTTACGTTTCGATCGCGGCAATTGTTCGATATGATCATTCACAACGAGTTTTGGCTTTCTAAATCGATGAATATTTTTCATTTATAATTACCAACTTATGATCAATTGGCTTACCGAGTTGCAGTTCCCTTTCTCGAATCACACATTTCGCATCGAAATGCCACGCATGGATTTTTATATGTACATAATGAGCAATCCCATGTTCCATCGTTAATCACTACACGCGATCGTTTTGCTCTGAATGTTAAACAATAAAGAATCGAATGGTGAACATATTATTCTCGCATACTTTCGATCTGTCATGATTTTCCACGTCGACGATTCATATAATACAAGCGAAATGAAAAGTTGAGTCTTAATCTACAAAATACGAAAAAGCAAATCATTTTCGGCCCATTATTTCTCTTCGGAAAACTTTTTCTTCTTCAATTCATCGACTTTCTTTTTCAAACGTTCAGTTTCTTCAAGCTTTGCTTGCCGTTCGGCAGCAAACTGACGAAAACCTTCAACACCTTTCGGTATCGTATTTAGAAAGTCTTTCATATTCGAATAAGTTCCCGTAACAGCATTGCCCATGTTCGTTTGCATGCCAGAAAAACGTGTTCGACACGACTGATCGCAATACGGCGCCTTCTGCGTCATTTTACACATACACAAATCTGCCATTTGAAACTTCGACGATGTGAATTTCATTGGTTGAAAGTCACCGTTTAAATGCAGACACGATTTGTCACAAAACGCCTAGAATAAATGTTTACAAGAGCATTTTCAGTCAATGGCCAGTTTACCTGACGCTGTGCGTAACCACATGAACACCACAGATAGGTTTTATTCGGATATAATTCTGTTTTTATTGGTTGAAAGCCACCAATACGTTTTCGATGAATACTAGCTTCAGGGTTCGAACGTGCTTGAAATGATGATTTCAAAAATTCCCAAAATGGTATTCGAATACTCTGTAAAAGATAGATTTGTTTCGGAAAACAATATTCATGTACAACATACGCACACGTTTTGATGTGATGACTAGTTGAGTTGATCGCCGGCTAAGCCGATGACAATGAAACATGTTTATCTAAAAACACAGAAGATAAGTTAACACTGGAAAGATATTTGGAATAATATATATATATATTTTATATATACAATGGCGACATGTAGAAAAGAAAGTTGTTAGATATATTTTTAAAAAAGTAATGATCATGGCGGTGTTTTCCAATCATATAGCACTTAAAGCGATGTATTAAAAGCTTCTTTAATCATCGTTTTGACGTGATTAACAATAGTTGGTGTATCACTAAAGTGAATCTGGAAAAGAAACGATGTTTATTAAATGATGAATGTTCGGTTTTTTTCGAAAGAAATTACTTTGAATAAATAGGGTTGGATGTCGGTGTAAGATGTGTCGAAGACTAAGTCTAATTCAGACAGATGTGGTGGTTTTGGAACGTAATCTGGTTTGTTACTAATCAAAAGACATGTTTTGAGTATATGAAGAATGATTTTAGCTTACATTATTTCGGTTATTTGAAAAATACGTTCAGTCAATGTATCCGAAAGTTTTTCACGCACAAATTGTCGTTCTAAAAGAAAGTGAATATAACCATTGAATCGTTCGAAAAGTTCACTTACCATTCTCGCTAGATAGTTGCATTTGTTCAATTTTTATCGTCCAAATTTCCCACGGAATTTCTTCAGGTTTAAACATCCAACGAGATTTTTTCTTCTGATAAAATTCCAATGTAATCTAATAAACGAACGTAAATAGGAACTCTTGTCGAAGAGTTTGTTTTTTCTATTTCATTACTTGACCACAACGATTCGCTTCGGATGAACGAAGTTTATCATGAAATTGGTTGATTTTCTCAGCCACTGCGCGTTGTAGTTCTTGACTAGTTACTTGAAGCTAAACAGAAAACACAAGTCACGGTAATGAGACGTTGTTTTGAATACCAATGAAACGATTTTATCTCCGCAAGTCATGATTCATACGAATACTTACATAAGTGAAATCAATGTAATCACAATCAACATCTGTGTAACCCAGTGTTCCAACTGAATAACTATCTTCTCCTTTGGTATGATACTAAAACGAATTGATAGTTAATTGCGAGAGATCTTATTGAACAAACCTTTCCAACACAACGATGAAACAGTATGGTATGAAACATACAGGATACGACTTCATCGATTTGTCGCCCTTCGACTGAGAATTCGAAAGTTTGGGATCGAGCATTCATGTTAATCTGAAAGCAAAAAACAAACTAACAAAATTTTTCTCTCATTCACTGGAAGAAAAGCAGAGGATGAATATTTCATGACGAAGAAATCGGTAATTTTTTCGTTTTCTTCAAAGCACAAGCTTCTTCGTAAGCGGGATGAATCGGCGGTTGAATCGGTTCGATATATTCTTGTTCTAAGGGATATGTCTTATCCGAATCGAATCCATCGAGACTTCCACAAGCGATAAATGGAATAACGAACGAAGATTTCTCTTGATTTGTCAATGTTCGCTCGTAGGTATAAGTAAACGGTTCATCGATGTTTGGAATGAAATTATCTGGTAGATGAAACTGTCGGCAAACAATAAAAGATTCGACAGATGAATTTCTCGATGACCGGGGTTTCGCAATAACCACATCGTCGAAAAATAGTTTTAATTGTTGATAGAGTAGATCGATATTTTTCGTGCGGAAAATCTTCGATACAAAATTGCCATTTTCACATAAGACATGCAAACAGATATTCAAAGCTGCTAGGACGAGATTGCCTTGAACGAACTCATCGATATCGTGTAGACCGGTTACATCAGGTGCGCCATCACAGATGACAAGATCAGCTTTATTAATCTTCTCATCGGATGTTTTGAATCGGTTGAGAATTTCTTCAATTGTTGACCGTTTCGTGATATCACCTTTGATTTGTTCAACACCAGGCAACGGAGCCATGGTTTGCAAGTCGACGGCAACGATTTTCACTTGATTGTCAACCGCATCTGTTTTGTATAAAGTACGAGAAAGTACCTGTGACCAACTTCCTACGAAAAAAAAAATCACTTTCTCCGTAACAAAATCAGACAAACTGCAGATGGAACATGAATATTTTGTTTGTTTCGTATTGATGTCTGTGACTATACGTCAATTTGTGTAGACATTTTTCTTCTCTTTGACTACTAATGCGTATCAAATGAAGCATGTAAAAGTTCAAGGACTGAATGATTTCATTAGTAATTTAATTTCTATGACTTTGTTTGTTGATTAATAGAATTGAGTTAAAGGAAGTTTGCGGGAATATGTTCGCTCAGAAAAATGTCATGACTTACCAGGCGCTGCACACAGATCAACGACTCGTTTGACATTGTCATTGAGAATATTAAATTCACTGTTGATTTGCAGAAGTTTAAAAGCAGATCTCGCTCGAAGACCTTGTTCCTTTGCTAGTCGATAATAAATATCGCGCTTGTCTTTCGTTGATTTACCCATCTGAAATAGCAGACAAGAAAACAAAGATATATTTTATACACCCGACGAAAAAAATCACAAAATCATCGAAAATTTATTCAATGAGTCTTTTTCGAAGTATTTTTCAGTTTTGGTCTTTCAAAAACTTGTTTCATGCCGCCAGCAAATTCCTGGCGAAACTTGGGATTCGATTGTTTATCTGACCCCCACGGCGATTGCTTCGAACTTGTATCTTGATCAACCAAATGAGTGTATTTCGTTCGGCCAGCCATACCAAAGTTTTTCACCTGCATTACTTTCGGCAGTACAGTCTTATCAAAATGATCTTCAAGTGTTGGAGCACTGTAATCTCGTTTATAAATCTCATCTTCTTTATCCTAAATGGAAATAGAATGTTTTGATATAAAGAAAATCGAAGAAAACTTGACAAACCAGAAAGAATGCACCACGATGGTAATACTTCTGCAAAAATTTGTATTTCGCTTTCGGTGCTTCGTTTGTGACGACTTTCGATTGATTCCGCAATTCAGCTTGGAGTTCTTCTTCAGTCATATTACGTCGACGTTCAAGTTCTTGTTGTTCACGCTCTCGTCTAAAGAAATTCCTTTTGTACATAGAACACAATGTGACAATTGAACTTACTCGTCGCGTTCTTTTCGATCACGTTTTAAGCGTTCGAGTTCACGCAATTTCCACGCATTATATACGGCTTCTTCATCTTCATCGTCAGTATTGAAATCACATTGAATACCACCCTCTTCTTCAGCTTTTTGTATTTGTTCTTCCTTAATTGCCTCTTCGACTATCTAAACAGACAAAAGAAACTCGAAGAATCAAAACGTGTTCAATAACGTACTCGTTTAGTTTGCATTTTTCGTTGATGAGCAACACGCTTTTTTTCGCGTTCAAGTTCTAGTTGATGTTTTTCTTCTTCCTCACGTTCTGCGACTGTTCGACGATCATCTCTGAAATGAAGAATAGCTTTGATATTGAACAATCAGTTTTTTGTTTAAAAAGACTCACTTTCGGACAAATACCGGCTTCAATCTGGGCATACCGTCATCGTCTTCTTCCTCTTCATCTTCTTCGTCACTTTCAGATTCTTCCGACGATTCCTCTTCTTCCTGTTCGACTTCTTTTTCATCTTCAACTTGTAGCAATTCCTTTAGAACAATAATCATTTAGAAAAACATCAATTATTAATTTAATAATCATACTCTACCTCTTCTTTGGCCTTCTCTTTCGCTCGAAGAAGACGACGCTGTCGATTTCGTTCGTATTCGTCGTCGTCACCTTCTTCATCATCATCAGATGACTCGATATCCATTTTAACACGATTACTAACAGTTTGATTTTCGATATCCATTTCATCATTGTCAATTTCTTCAAGTCGATCATTTTGTTCTTTGTCTTCTTCATTTTCCGCCTCCTCCTCTTCTTCTTCTTCGTCTGAACTTTGTTCAAGAATTTCTGGTTCAACAATTCGACGACGTCGATGGATTCTAAAACAAATACACAAGAATATTTTCAAACAGAACGCATCTCTCAATATACCGTTCACGATCGTCGTCATCATCATCATCTTCTTGAGTTTCACGTTCTTGCAAACGACGCAAGCGACGATCTTCTTGCTCGATTCGAGTAACTAGAAAAATAAACATTAAAAATTAGTGGTCATCTCAATCAGCGTGTTCATGTACCTGATGGAGCTTTAACTTGTTGTTGAAATTGCTCGTCATCATCGTCATCGTCACTTGCGTATAGTGCTCCGGCGCAGTCAGGTCTAAATGCAAAGATTCTTCTATCATCTGTTTTTCGAATTCCCATAGACTCTTACCGTTTTCCGGCGACATGTCGACGTACTTTGACTTTTTGTGTAACCAATTGTCCTTTGGCATTTCGAACAGTAATAGCACCAGCCGTTGAAAGCGATGGTGCTTTGAAAAAGCCTTCGTCAATATCAATCATACTCATTTGAGTTGATTTGAATTAAGAATCTGTTCTTGCGCAAAATGGATGATCGAACAAAATAAAGAAAATTATTATATTACATTACATTCTACGGTCATTGACGATGATCGAATCAAATATAATGACATGTAGATGGCGTTATATATCGCGCGGAGACAACTTGGCTTATTGTCATTTATGTTTTCGCGTTTGTTGAAACACATTGTGATAAGATAAGATATGAATGTTAGTGTACTAAGTTCACATGAGACTTCCACATATTTAAAGAAGGAGAGGCGTTTGACGAAAGAAAATGTCAAAAAAGAGCGAGTTGAAAGGTTTGAAAGTTGCTGGTAGTATCATTGTTTTATTTATCTTGGTTTGGTACCATGCATTGTTTCAAATCGATTTGAGAAAAGCAACATGGTTTGATATTGTCGGTACATTCTGTTGTTTGGAATTTTTATATACGGGATTATTTATTACCAGTCATGATGCTATGCATGGCACAGTTAGCACTCGCGTAAGTTAAGTCCGATTATATAAGGACTGCTGAAAATACAAGAACATTTTCTTTGAAAAGATAAAAAGTTTTGATAAAGTTTGTATGACATTTCAAAGAGGTCAACAAACATGAAACTGCGAATACTATTTGTCAGTAAGGGAATTAATTTTCTGATTTTACTCTAGTATCGTCGATTGAACAATGCCATTGGCTATATCTGTCTTTCTGCTTATGCTTGGTTTGATTTTCGATTTATGCATGAACAACATTGGCGGCATCATAAGAACACAGGTGTTCCCAATAAAGATCCTGACTTTCACAATGGCCGATCAATCGGATTCTTTTCATGGTATTTGAATTTCATGTTAGAATATATGAGTGTACGACAGACGATGAAAATGATCGTATGGACGATAATACTCATGTTCGTATTTTCGGTTCCGATGGAGAACATGATAGTGTATATGTTAGTCTGTGGACTATGTAGTTCGGTACGTTTATTCTATTTCGGTACGTATGTTCCACATAGGCCAACAGTAATCAATGGAAAGTTCGAACAAATCATGCCATGGGAAAAGTCGAAATCGGCAAATGTAAGTCGATGGATTAGCTTCCTGTGTTGCTATCATTTCGACTATCATTGGGAACATCATCGATGGCCAGCTGTACCATGGTGGGAGTTATGGGAATACAAAGAAATGAGAAAAAAGACGGTTTCATAAAACAATCTTGGTCATTCTGTTCGATTATTATTTTATTTAAATAAAAATAAAAGAAAAATATTTTTAATTGATATCTATCGCTGTTTATTCATTTTGTCACTTGAAAATTCAATAAGAACAGTACCGAACCAGGCTTGCCTAGGAAACAGTACGATCAGTCGACCGATACAAACAGCGGCGAGGAAAATACAGAATGCGATAGATAACACCGTTCGATAACGCGCGAATAACAGATGGTAAATCAGAAGTATTTCACTGGCTAATAGACCCCAATAAATGAAACGACGAACATGAATTAAGCCAACTGTCAACGTTGGTGTATTGTACTTCGATGGAATTGCAGCAAACATCAAACCAGTGATAACGAAAAGCCACGAATTCCACCAGGAAAGAATATACGTAGTCAACGGCGTTATTTCATCGACAGGTCGAAGTAAAAATGCAAGAAATGTTGCTGGATAGAAGTACACAAACAATATCAAGCTTAGATTTGACACTGCTTCAGCAAATAGAAGAAGACGAATAGGTTGATCATTAACTAAACGAACACTAAAATCATCAAGCATTGTTTGCTGAGACATAAGCAGACAGGAGTACGAGCTTTAAATAACGCTTATCAATTGTGTTTTGAGAAATAAACTCATTTACCTCATACACAAGTGTACAAGATGATATAATGCATTCTATTGATTGGTAAATGAGCGTAACAATCATTTGAGTAATAGAACCTACTTCACGACATCTATTAAAAAAAGAAGAAATCAATTCGTGTGTGAAGTATCATATTACGCCGTTACTGTATGCAGATTATCCTTCTGCTAAATTATAGTGCCAAGAATTCTGGGTGATGTATTACCTTGAAGAGAACTACATGGTAATCGAGAAGCAGTAAAAGGTGAGATAAACAGTAGAATCAACGTTGACGGTGCAGATCATTGTTTCGTTCCTATTCGTGATGAAAAATTAGTAAGTATTCTTCCATCACAATCTTCAAGATTGCATGTTTAAAAGAATAAATGTTGAAGAAAAACCCAGTTATTTTTTTATTTCGAAAACAGAGAAGAAACAACAATAAACTGAATTATTAAGCACTGATTGTTTTAAAGACATTAAAACCGGATAGTGCAGTACTGAGTAATAATCCAGGTATTTGTTTATGCCAGTGTACTTCTTTGATATCTGTTTGTCCCATATGAATAAAAAGTAACTGATCAGGCAAGTTTTCAATATGATTATTATCATTAGCAGCTGCTTGCTCTTTCTTTTCTTCGTTATCTTTTTCAACTGCTAAGTCCCATAGTGTTATTTGATTATCAGCACCACCTGCGGCAAACACACTTGAGTCAGTATGATGCCATTCGACACTGGTAATAGCTGAACGATGGTGTTTAAACGAAGCAACCGGTGTTTGTTTCTTGGAAAAGAAAGAAAACGAGATTAAATTTTCAATTCAAAGTTGTCGTTCGTCATATTTACGGAGAATTGTCGTAAATCCCAAACTTTGATATATCCATCATCACCACCAGAGATCAAAAATGGTTCATGTTTATTCCAGCTAATCACATTAACATCGGATGTATGTGCATCGAGTTCTGTTAACATGCAAGCTTTCGATGGTATCGCACGAATATCCCATATGCGTATACTTCGATCAACACCACACGAAGTAAAAACCTACGAAATGCAAATGTTATTGTTAATCAAGATTGAAAACAATGTTTTCATACACTCTGTTCATTAGGCGACCATTGAATATCTTCTACGGATGACGTATGACCGATGTATGGTCTTTGATCAACAGCCCATTCGGTTTCAGTCGGTTTCCAAACGTGGATATTTTTTGAACAATCACCGGTTGCCAGTACTCCTAAGAATAACACAAGTTCGTTTCTCTTTCTCATACTCTATACAACTTCTGATATTGAGTACCTGGTGCTATTGGTGACCAATCCATAGCAAAACCTACGAATATGAGAAAATAATCATCAACTTCAACGTTAAAGAGGAGCGTTTTCGTTTACCTTCTGCCATATGTCCATTAAATGTAAATAGAGCATTTGGTGATTCTTGATTTCGGGTATACGCAGCCATCACAGATGAATCATTCACAGCATGTACCAATCGACTTAAGTCCCAAATATGAACTTTACCGGTATCAGACCATGTCGCTGCTATTTTACGATCATTGATCATTGTTGACTAAAACAGCAAGTAAAGAGATAGAACGAGAGATTTCTGAACGATCTATTTACTCGTATTCGATTAACGCCACCAAAATGTTTCAATGAAACTGATTCAAACTCTGGTTTAGCATCTTCTTCATCATCATCATCATCATCTTCATCTGATTCAGCGTCAGACGATGTTTCCTGAAAATCAAATTCATTCTTGTAATTGCTGTGCAATATCATCAACATACTTTCAAAGTTTTGGTTAAATTCGACATTTTAACAACCATAACACTATTTCGATCAGACTTCTCTGCTTGTGTTCCGCAAACAATAAATACTGTATGTGGATATTGATTTCTATCTATACCCAAGTTATCGGGTAAGATATCAAAGCTTAAACATGGATCTCCTGCAAGAATAAACTTGATAAACTTCCTCGTATTCTTTTCATACACATACTTGCCTGTTTGTGCTTCATGAAACATTTCATATGCGCTTTCTTCTCGAACAAGTTCTTCGTCTTCATCTAATGGATCACCCGGTAAATAGACTTGCTGTGATGGTTGATCGGTTTGATCGTCAGCATCCATATCTTCATAGTCATCATCCTCATGTTTTACGTCTTTGACCTTTTTTTCTAGTTTCTTTTTCTTATTTTTTCCCTTGGTTTTAACCATTTTTCTCTTATGATCTAAAAACAATATCCATGACATATTTATGCATATATATACGTATAGACAAATGCGTCCGAAGATTAAGACAAATCGACCAGAAAGATATGAGTTTTTTTTTAAAAACGAAAGCCAGAATAGAACAAAATCACATACGACGAATACATAAAGTTCTACCAAAAAATAGTCATTATCTCTTGTAAGAAAAGTGTAAATCTAGTCTTTCTTTGCCAATTAATCCTGTTCGATGTTAACAGCTGCTGATTCATGACGATTTTCATTTTTCAATTTTTGAAATGCATCATAAGCAGCTGCTTCTTTGGCTTCTTTCTTCTTATTCCGTTTCTCGTATGTCAAACTAAAACGAACACACATTCGATCAAAGAGAAAACATACGAAAGTTCCTGTACAAACCGATTATCAATAATACGTGTAATAATATCTTGTGTTGTTAACGAGTTTCCACTGTCAATTTGCTGGAATTTGCCGAGACCTTTAGGTACTTCATATGGATCACGTCCGTCAACATCTGGATCACAAGGCGTTTGACCGTGTATAACAATTGAAACTCTGAAGTGATTCATTAATTCCATGGTGACTGAGTAAGGTGCACCAATGACCACTTCATCGACGTACTTTGAAGACATTTGATAATGATGAAAGTCTTTGAAGGAAGCGCAAGTGAACTTACTCGACATGCTAGTACACTTAGAACACGCTCGTGAATGTTCATAATCGGATGATTACTGCCTTTATATCGATTAACAACCTATTGAATCGAGAAATTTCATATTGTTTGACCAATGATGAACTTCAATTTCATAGTTTACTTTATCGGAATGTAAACCAACGATAAGATAATCTCCGTATGATTTGGCTTTTTCCAAAAAGTCAACATGACCAACATGGAATAAATCAAAAGCGCCAGCAGTATAAACTATTTTATCAGTAGCCTAAAAGCAGGGAATATAGCTATATCTGAGAAATGGATAACTATCTACTTTAGGTTCTCGTCCATTTGAAAATTGAATGATTTTATTGGTCGTTGCCAAAAATTGCGATGCACCAGTCCATGGACTAACACTCTCTTTACATAAGCTCATACGTCGTGTGTTTTCCCGATCAGGTAATATATCATCAGGTTCATGATGTGATTTTGTCACCAATAACATTCTAAACAATTCAATTTGACATATAAACACGTACAATCAATCAATCAAACAAAGTTAACCTTCCGACAAGATCCGTGGTTGATATTCCCTGTGTACGTTTACATTCTCGATATCGACCAGCTGTTTTGACTATATGATATGTATCGACACCATCAGCAGTTACCTAGAACACATTACTTGTGAAACAAATTTATCAAACGAAATCTCATATCTACCGTGATGTCATCTCCATGTACGCAAAATGCACAGTTGTATTCTTCTAATGTTTCAAGCGTTGTCACATACGGTGCATTTTCGACGACTTGATCAACCCATTTTATTGCACGTACCATTTTGTATCTCTCCTGTTCGTTGAATACTGGTGGACCTTTGTGCTTAGTAATTTCCTCTACATAAACCAAACAGTTTTCATTCAAACATTCGTTTCCTGAGGAAAAAAGAAACACCACGAACCATCTGAGTGTACTCCAACGACTAAATATCCACCCATTTGTTTAGCTTGACGACAAGCATTTGCATGACCGAAATGAACCATATCGTAACTAAAATAGACATTGGAACATGTTTTGTCATCTGTGAGTTCATCTTCAAAAGTATTTTACCATCCATCCATCCATACTCTAACATCTTGGTCAGGTTTCGCTTCGCCTGCGTACGATGTTCCCATATTTGTGTCGTTCGTATGTGTAAAAATTTAGAAAATGCAAAGCTAACACTATAATGAGAAACAAACAAGACAAGATGAAATGGTACATAACATCGATCAATTATTGATCCGTCATTCTCTTTTCAAATAAAATCGTAATGTCCACATCAATCTTAATGAATGATTTTGATGAAAAAATAGATATCACACATTTTTCTCATTACTTATGCATATCATAGCTCATAGCCAACGACTAAAAACGAATAATAATAATGTGATTATAGAATCTTGTGTGAGTCATTCGATAACCAATCGAGATTTATCTTGTCAATCGAGTTGAAGACAGAAATATACCTTTTCCGACTGATATCGGATTCGAAAAGTCGTCGGTGTTTTTTCATGACAAGTCTAATTCTAATTATCAATAGTTATTGCCATTTGAAATTTTCATCCGAAAGGTGGCGCTGTGACACATGTGGTGAGTATAAACAAATATTCGATATTCAATCGATATTTTTCACAAAAACAAAACTTTTTCAATCGTGTAGGAAATTATCAGTTCTCTAAAGAATGTTTTCATGAGATGAATAGAGACTAAGAAACGATTGGTCGATGATTCACATACGTATCACGATAAATAAATTACAATAGGAAAAGATGAACTTAGATTTCAGTATGTTCGATTCGAAATTTGATCTCGAGAAACAAAGCAAAAAAGTGATTTTTCCCAGATATTTGACGACAGAATCCTTCACCCATGATTCTTGTTCGATTTCTTCCTGGGAAATAGGAATGTTAAACTGTTGATGAACTTGAAATTTATTTACATATTTTTCGAGTTAGTGCAGTTTCGACAAAAGCATTTTTCTTTGAAGAAAAACATACATTATTCGAGTGTATTTCGTTTCAGATCATGCCTGTCGAAGATTTATCTGACGAAGGTCTTCCTAAAGTGCCAAATCTCGATTTGGCTCAATTGAAATTTTTGATTACACTTCAGCCCAATGATAAATCCTTGAAGGAAAAGCTGTTAAGCGAAATTAAAGCAAATAATATGACACCATTCTACCTCGAATGCGTCAAAGATGGTCAATTATCTTCAGATGAAAAGTTAATTCAAACAATGCGCCAAGCCAATGACGAGAAATTCAAGGAATTAGATAGTAAAATTGAAGAGAACGAAAAAGCGTTCGGTGATAGTGAAATTCGGGAAAGTTTTCTTGCTAAATCTCAATATTTATGCTCGATTGCCGATCATGAACAAGCATTAACATGGTTGAGAAAAACTTACGACAAAACGGTTACTTTAGGTCATCGTTTGGATTTAATCTTTTATCAATTACGTTTAGGTTTATTTTACATGGATCAAGATTTAATCGAAAGAAATTTAGAGAAAGCCAAAACATTAGTTGATGAAGGTGGTGACTGGGATCGACGTAACCGAATGAAAGTTTACCAAGGTTTACGCGCGATGTCCATCCGCGATTTCAAATCTGCGGCTGAATTATTTTTGGATACCGTGGCGACATTCACATCCTATGAATTAATGGATTATCAGGCGTTTGTTACTTATACGGTCATCTGCGCTCTTGTCGCTTTAGAAAGGCCAAAATTACGCGAGAAAGGTATGGAGCGCATCTAGTTCAAAGAATTAGAGAATCGCAGACGAATAAAAGATCAATAATCATTTTTGCATGAGAACATTCTCATTAAGCGAACTCAACCGCGGGATGACGTCTTTGTTTTCTATTTTAGTTATTCGTGGAAGTGAAATATTAGAAATCCTCCATGGTTTACCGTTAATTAAAGAATATTTATTTTCACTTTACGAATGCCGCTATGCGGATTTCTTCCGTTGCTTAGCGACCATCGAAGAAAACTTATTAAGCAAAGATCGTTACTTTGCTCCGCATGCGTCGTACTATGTTCGAGAAATGCGTATCATTGCTTATAATCAATTGTTACAATCGTATTCGTCGTTAACCTTAAAAGGTATGGCGCAAGCGTTTGGCTGTTCGGAAAGTTTTCTCGACAAAGAATTATCCCGATTTATCGCCAGCGGTCGGCTCAATTGTAAAATTGATAAAGTTCGGGGTATTATCGAAACGACCAGACCCGATTCAAAGAATTTCCTGTATCAAGAAGTGATCAAAAAGGGCGATTTGTTACTCAATCGAGTGCAAAAGTTAAGTCGAGTCATCAACATTTAATTGACATTTGCAAAGTTCCTTTTTTTTACCTTGTCGAAAGAGAAAAACAAACTGTGAATAAACAAGAATTTTAACGTTAATGTTGTAGCTCTGCTTTTTTTTCTCTTTCTCCCCAAATCTTCTCTGTCATATCAATGACAATAACAATTTCGAATCGTGAATAAACTTTCGTTTACAAAGTAATAGGCAACGCTTATACGATCAAGCGTACATTTCATTTGTTAAAATAATTGCTTTTGTCAGCCCGTATCATTCAACCGATATGTTATTTTTTTGTTTTGGTCTTCTATTCATAAGCGAAACATTACAACTATCACCTAATCTATTCATAAGAATCAATAGGGTTGTTATTTTTGCATTCATTGATTCGAGAAAATAAGTATGATGAAAAAAAGAAAACCAGTGATTTGTTGTTTTTTGTTTTTGTGATCGAACGAGGAAAATATGATAAAGATCAGGGTAGAGGAAACAAAATATTATTCACAGATTGAAATCTTTCCAGCTCCTGAATGCATTTTTAATTGAAGATCTTTGTATTAATAACAAATAGTGTTGTTGAGAATGGTAATTATGGTAATTTAACAGAAGAAAAATAGGAAAAATGAAAACTTGTTATTAGAAGCTTTTTCGAGCAATATTAATTATACGCGACAATATTATTAAAGCTCACATCGTTGCGCAGAAGGAGGAAAAAAACAAAACTTGGTCTTGTTACACATTAGGAATTGATTTTCATTTCAACGTCTTCTCTGTATAAAAGCGCGAGGAGAAGCAAGGGGAAGAAACCCTCATGAGAAACACGTCACATATATCATGACTCTTAGTGCTGAGAACGACGAGCGTACCAGACTTTTTCTTTAGAAAAATAACTCTACTCATCTCGTCACTTGTCATTAGAAATTCCCAACATCTCAGCGATGAGTAAGTATACTTCACTAATCGTATGTTGACAACCACAAGTAGGCTTTTCACGTTGATTACACTGCCTGATAAATGAAATTTTCCTTTTGGCATTTTGTTTATTTGTACATCGTTTTTTTACTCTTACCAATAGACACATCTTTGACATAAACATTATCATTACGACCATCTGCGCTAAGTATTTCAAAGGAGAACTGTAGACACTCTGTTTTTTTTTTCATCGAATCGTCGAGCAACATACGGTTATCAGCTCGAGGTGAGAGCTATTACCAAAGACCATTTTGACGTCGATAGTTATGTTTTCTGAACAATTGACAATAAAGTAATTGTAATGACGTCAATGAGTATTGACTAATTTCTTTGTGTTTCTTTTTTGTTGTTACTGTGCTTTCAATGAGTCGACATTTCTATTCAGTACAAAATATTCGTTGAGATTGCATGAAAATGTTTTGATTATTTACACGATTAATTTGTTGATTATGTTTTGTGCGTCTAAGCCGATCACGTACTTTTCATTTTCAGCGGATATGTCTATCTATATATATATATGTATACGCGGCGTTGATAATCACATATTTTCTTGAGGAAAGCATCTTTGCACAAGACAGCTAACGAGATATTTTCGTATTTTCTTCGTAGTTCTCGGAAAACAATTAGTAGATTCAGCTGTTAAAACTGACACCGAGCAGATTTTTTTATTCATCTTCTCCGTACACTTTCTGATTTCCTGGTGTCTATTGAAGCATAGAAATTCTTCGTTTTCCAGAGAAAAATTTGAGAGCTTTCCAGATTTTTCTCCTCTCGAGAACACTATACTGCAGATGAACGTAATTAATCGATTTGTTTAGTTTGCTTTCTCTTCAGTTCAAAATGTCAGTCAGGTAAAGTATACGACAAAGTTTTTGTCTCATAGATGAATATAAATGTGCGCATATACACATGAGCAAGTTCAAATATTTCTTTTTTTCCCTCTCTCTTACTGTGATCTATCACATCGAACAACTCTCCAACCTCTCCATTAGACACAAATATCGAGAAAATGAGAGGTAAGACGAAAAAAAAGTCAGCTAAGTAAATAATAATATACGTCGTAAAAATAAGCGACAAAATTAGAAAATCTTCATAAATTATTGATAATTTCTTTTTCTGTCAGAGGAAACAGCTCAAGGAAACAATCGCCGTTTCCTTTTCTTGCATAATTTTCAATTCCATACGAATATTCGTATATCAATATTAGTTATTAACAAGAAACGAGAGAGAAAATATTCTACTGCTACTACTAATAATAATAATAAAATCTCTTGAAACGACACGCGCTTAACACGACTGACGTCATAAACCTTCGATATAACACAGTGACATGTAAGGCAATCCGCAAGATATCCATGCAAACATTTCTCTCAATGCATATCGTCCCGGAGTACTCATTAACATCTTAGAAAGAAAAGATTTCATTCACATAGATCGTATCATGAAATTTCCTTTATCGCAGAAAAAGATCAAGAAGTCGTTGTTCACTTTTGTTGAATTAGTCAAACAGAAGGTAGTGACGTCAAATATACATTGAAATGTCTCCTTCCTTCCTTCTTTCTCCTCACACTGATTCATTTCGTTTTCGTACTGACGAAACAGCTAACAATTACAATATAAATGTGAATTAGATGTCTTCTATTAATGAGTAATATTATGGACCTTAGCTGAATATAAATAGTTCGATGCTTGATGTTTTCTACGCTTGCTGTTTTTTTCCCTTCTTTTTACTTTTTTTTTCAAAGGTGAAATTGACGTCAGCAAACGACTTTATGAATAGATTAATATTTTTCTTCTATTCTGCATAAAGATTTCAGTTTCTCCTCCAGCGTTTGAGGTATATATGGCAAAGAACGTGCCCGACACTTTTGTCGATGAATATTTACAGAACTCTTTCTCACGTCGTTTCATCGCTATCTTGGTTGACACATGTCTTCCCGAGGAGAAGAAAGAGAGGATCATAACATGTCTTAGTAATTTTAGATTAGAAAAACAAATCTTTCGTTTTTTATACGAATGGCGTTCAAATGTCAAATCGTTCCTGAACTCGCCGCCGCTGTTCACGGCGTCACTGAAGATATTCCCGAAAGTCCATCGCCGAAACTTGCTCGTAGTCGATTGGCGTCATCAGTGTCCTCGACAAGTTCATCAAACAACTTCCATTTACGTTTGTCACCAAGTCATTCACGACGAATCTCTCAAGTCAATGCTCGCAAAGCATTTACTTATTTTGACAAGAACCGTGATGGAAAATTGAGCATCAAAGAATTTCAATCTGTTATGCATGATTTAGGCTATAAAGCTGTTGACAAACGTTTCATCCGGCAGATGTTCGCCGAAGCGAACCGAAGTGGCAACTCACATGTCTTGAGTTATAATGACTTTGTTCAATTTCTTGAATCAAAATTAGCAGTCAACACCAATGATCATCTAACACTAACCGAAGATTTCGATGTTTTATCAGTACCGAAGATGGAATTCGATGTGGAAACCTTATTCAATTGTTATGATTTGGATAAGAATGGGTTCATCGAACCGAAAGAGTTACGCAAAGTTATGAAACGATTAACTGGAGAGAAGTTATCCAAACGCGACATCGAGGAAATGATCAGCGTTGCTGACAGAAACGGGGATGGACTCTTAGATAAAAGTGAATTTGCACTTTTATGCAGTGCGTTTTAATTAAGCAAACTTTCAAGACTTTTATTTGTACTTACTTATACTTTTTTGGCATTATGACAGATATAGTAAATGTATAGTATCTGCTGATTGCGTGTGTCTTGTCTTTGTCAACATGACGAGTCTTTTCATAGCGTAGTTAAAACGAATTGTTTTAACATGTCGGATGTAATCCATCCTTTGTATGATTTCCTTCCTATTAATTAATCTCCACATTGCGAATAGAATTGTTTTTTATTTCATCTGCGTTTTGTTCATGTTTGTCAATGTTTATAAGCCTGTTTGTTTGTTTTTTTCTGTAATTTATTAAGACTACTACAGAAGGAAACTACAAAAGCGCAAAAAAGATCATCAATCATGGGAGTATGTTCTCATTGTTCTTCATCGTCATCTTCAAGCTAGTCTACTGTTGAGAGATTTTAGAGCGGAATATTTGCATGTTTCTTCTTGGGGTTTTTCAACTTTTTGTTAGCTAAGAGTGCTAAATCGCGGCAAATACGTTGACGAGTTGTGTTTGGCTCAATAATGTCGTCGACGAAACCTCGAACGGCAGCCGGGAATGGATTGGCGAATTTATCAATATATTCAGCTTCACGTTGCTTAACATCATCGCCATGGTTTCCACGGAATATGATTTTTACTGCACCTTGAGCACCCATGACGGCAACCTAGAGAAAGGCAGAGCAAGAATATGAGAACTAGTCCAAAATTCTTCTTCTCAATTATACTTCAGCAGTTGGCCACGCATAATTCATATCACCGCGAAGGTGCTTTGATGACATGACGTCATACGCTCCACCATACGCTTTACGAGTAATGACAGTGATCTTAGGTACAGTTGCTTCGGCGTAAGCAAACAAAAGTTTAGCTCCGTGTCGAATGATTCCGTTATGTTCTTGAGCAGTACCCGGTAAAAATCCTGGAAACGATTTGTTCTGTTGAGTTGTCAATGAATTCTGTTCTGCAAACAGACTTACCCGGTACGTCAACAAAAGTTATGATTGGAATATGGAACGCATCGCAGAATCGAACAAAACGAGCTCCTTTGACCGAGGAGTTGATATCTAAGCAACCGGCTGCTACCTTAGGTTGATTAGCAACAATACCAACAGTTTGACCATTCATGCGTGCAAATCCTTGAATGGACAAAAAGAGCATATTTAAGCCGATTTGTCTCGCGCTTACCAATGATAATGTTCTTGGCAAATTCAGGCATGATTTCAAAGAAATCTTCTTCGTCAATAACAGCATTAATCTGTTGCGAAAGAAGGAGGACAATCAAAAGTAGATCGTCGTATATTTTTCTACGCATGGTTACTTACAACTTCTTTCATATCGTAGGCAGCTGTTGTTTCCAATGGTACAACTGTGTCTAATGAATAAGCGATTCGATTTGGACTATCATCCGATCGACGAATGACAGGTGCATGGTCTCGATTCGATAGAGGCAAGAAATTGAACAGTTCCCGTGTACGTAATAAGGTATCGATATCGTTGTCGTAGGCACCATGCGCTACTCCACTTTTCGCCATATGGGGACCAGCTCCACCTAATTCATCCTGTGTTACAGTCTCGTTGGTTACAGATTGTACGACATCAGGACCAGTGATAAATAGGTACGATGTTTGACGCACCATAAAAATAAAATCGGTCAAGGCAGGAGAGTAAACAGCACCGCCTGCGCAAGGCCCCTACAGACGAGCAAAAAAAACATGATACATTATGTGAATAGCATAGATTAAAAGAAATTCAATATGGTATTATATCCAGGGGATCAAGCCGAAGGAATCGAAGGAGTTGTTTTTATCTGTAATATCATGCTAATAAGATCAAGCTCAAAACAAAAGCGAGTTCGACTGCACTCGCGACCTTATAATCAACTATTTGACGAGTATGATTGAATCAAGTATTTTTTGGTTTATCTTACCATGATTAGTGAAAGTTGTGGAATAACACCACTGGCCATGACATTTCGTTGAAAAATATCTGCATAACCTGCAAGTGACTCGACACCTTCTTGAATTCGAGCACCGCCACTATCATTCAAGCCAATCACTGGCGCGCCAACCAGCATAGCTTGATCCATAATTTTGCATATTTTAGCTGCATGAACACTGGATAAACTTCCACCGAAAACAGTAAAATCTTGTGAAAAGATGTAAACTGGTCGACCATTGATCAAACCAGAACCGGTTATGACAGAATCACCATAATATTTCTCCTTTTCCATGCCGAAGTCTGAGCAACGATGTTGCATAAACATATCATACTCGCGGAATGAATCTTCATCCAATAAAACTTCGATTCTTTCACGTGCAGTTAATTTGCCTGAAATCAAACCAAGATAGTTGGAAGAATTTTCACCACTGAAATCCTTTTACCTTTTTTATGTTGAGAATCAATACGTTTTTTTCCTCCACCGAGTAAAGCTAATTGTCCGACACGCTTAACTTCTTCTTTGACTTTCAATGTATTCGAACTACCCGTTGTTAACAGTCGAACTTGGTTATAGCCATTAGTGAGCACGCGTAGAGCTGATAAACTGCGAAGCATTTCTTCTAAAAGTACAAACATAGATTCATATTGAATCAATGAAAAAGTAAACACAAAGAAAATTTTATTTAGATGGATAAGAAAAAATAAATAAAAATAAGAAATTCGTATCTGTCGGCTCTGTGTTATTATGTACAAAAGCTAGAAAATAAAGAACAAAAATGGTTATACAATTGACAGAATGAATATGACTTACCAATTCTTCGGAGGATCTGAAATACAATTCACACTGGATTTATTATTTTTGCAAAAAGAGTACATCGAACGAATACGATTAAAACAATAGAAATAAACAAATATTCTGACATGATTCAAGTTATTGAGAAGATTCGTCATTATTGGGATTATTATCTGAGATTGCTGGAGTAGCGGTAGTTGCTGCTGCTGCTGCTCGTAACTGATCAAGACGTATAACTGAATTATAACGTGGAATATTTCGTTTCAAAATATCTTGGATTGGACCGAGAACGCGTTCGAATCGCGCGCGATCCATTTTCACACATTTTAGAGTACCCTTAGCAACTACTGTAGCAACACGCGGACGATTGCAAAGCAATGCTATTTCACCAAAATAATTCCCAGGACCAAGTGTGTCAACCTCAACAGCTTGAGGTGATTCTGATGTTTTTTGATAGACAATACCATTTCCCTGGAATGAACGCATTTTTAATAGTACTCAGGAGGAAAAATTTACTTCAACGATGATAAAAAAGTCATCACCAGGATCACCCTGTTTGACCACGATGTCGCCATCTTCAAACTGAATGGGTTCGAGTGAGTCAGCTACAGTTAAACGTTCCCATTCGTCCAATGTTTCTAATGAATGTTATAATAGCGTCGATATCTTATTCGAAAGTCATCTTACCCAATATTGAAACTTTACTGAGAAATTCTTCGTACATCTTCCGTTTTTTGATAGTGGAATCCATCAATATCCTTCGATAAGTTTCTCCCAGTAGAGACCAAAGTTTAACATCTGTTTTGGCTTTCACTGTTGCGGCGCGCGGTGTACCATAGATAAGAGCGAGTTCACCAAAACTTGAACATTCTCCAATACTCGTCACTAATTCGTCATTGATATAAACCTAAAATGGTAAAAATAGGTCATAACCATTGACGAGAGAAATATTCACTTACATTGACTTCACCTTTATCAATAATGTAGAAATTTTCACCTTTTTCACCCTGTTGAATGATCGTGTCACCAGCGAGATGAATTTCTGGAAACATGGCGTCGAATATTTGTGCACGTTCATTTTCATCTAGATGACTAACGAATACAAACATACAGAATAAGCTACTGTTTTTCCACTGATCACACGGATACCTGAATAGGATATTCTTTTTAATTGCTTCCGATAGAGCACACATCGTAGCGTAATCTTTTTGCACAACTTCTCGAACAAATGAAATCGCACCATGTATACCCGATGAAGATTTCGATGAAACAGCTCCACGACGTTTTTTCACTAGTAACGGATATTGAATTTGGTTGCCATCGATCGTCGATGGATCCTAGAATTTACAAGTTCATGTCATGACTACAGCAAGAATCACGTACGCATGCCTAACCTGATCATACTGTTCGCCAGAAAAATATTGTTTTAAAAAATGAACAGGATTCTCTGGTTGATGAATACACAAACTATGTAAACATTGTTTGACTAAATTCATAATATCATTATCATTCATGTAATCTTCACATTGTCGTAATAACAATTCGACATCTGTCGACGATGAAGTCATATCTGAAACAATTGAATATTTTCCTCGTCAAATCTTATAATACACAGAAATGCTTATAGGAAGACATGTATGTCAATTATTGGCTCGATAACAAGAAAACGGAAAGTATTTGCGAAGCTTTATTGTCGATGACGACGATGATCAGTCGGCGAAGAACGCCGATGTTTATGATGATAATGATGAGCAGGTTTTTCACTAGAAAAGTCAGCTCTTAACGTACAATTCAAAGCTAGTCAGTCAACCAACCGCGAAGAATGATGACGATGAGATGGCGGCGAGGGTGAGTGACGTCGATTCGACTTTATATCTTGCGATTTCAATCGATTCTATTGTAAAAGAATTCGACTACGATTACCTGGAGATAAACACATCATTACTCGTTTTCGACTAGAAGTCTCTTGCTTTTGTGAACTTTCAGTTCGCTCTTTTTCAAGCGCTTCAGACTTACGTTTCTACAATGAAATGAAACATGTAACCTTAGATTCGTATCATATTTCAATGATATTGATAAACTTGATAAAATGTATATATTAAAGATTAACTCACAGCGATTGCTTCAAGTGTTGCTCTAATTTTTGCGTAGCCAGCATGCTGTTTGCCACTGTTGTGCTCATCTACACGGCTTTGGATATCTCCAATAACCAGAAATGAACCACAAACACTACAGACTTCCATCGATTTGTTTGATTCTGTTCTGACAATTTCTTCGTTTAATTGCTAGAAGAAAGTCAAATCTTTAGTTTGCTTTAGAACAAATTCATTTATCTCAATCCACCAATTCTAAGTTGTTCTTTTGTTCTCGTAGTTCTTCGCATTGACTCAGCACGTGTTGTGCTTCATCGATCTGACAAGCATTACCAAGTTCTTCGGATTTTAACACGTAAGATGTGATTTCATCGCTGATTTCTTTGATTTTACTAATCAGCTCGTTCTAGATATGAAAATAGATTATTGGTAAACATGCAAACGAAAAGATTTTCTTTTGTTATTCACTCGGAAACGGAATGGATCGTTCTCACTATTTGGTTCGCCTTGAGTTAAACGTAAACGTTCTTGTCCTCGTTTGATACGTCGTTCCACATCAGCAATCAACGATTGAAGATAGTGTTCTGAAAAGACAACGTGATATTGAAGAAGTCGAACACGATCTTTTCTTTTAATACCAAATTCTTCTTCATAGCCAAGTTTCCGATAACGTGAACTTGACTGATATCTAGAAAACATAACTCCTGCCAATGTTTTATAGAGTACACCACGTTTTAATTAATACTCTTTCTGAAGATGAGATTCATGACTTTTATCACAGAAGCCTAGAAAATAAAATTGTGATGAGTATTGACTTATCAATAGTTTAGTCGATAGTTACCGAGATTTTGTCGAGTATTAATAAATAATTCATGTGGACAGTAATCAACAAGCATCAGTTTACAAACCTGAAAGAATACATACGCTTGCGAGAGGAAAGGAAACAAACAAGAAATGGGTACATCGGGGTCATCAAAGCGACTTCTTTGAATGTGCTCGCCTTTTCCTGCGTTTCGTCCTTTACCCATCAATTCGTCTAATAATGATTGCTGTGCAGCTAAAGCCATCAATGAATTATATTCCAGGAACAAAGTCTTCAAAATGTACCGAATTGATTTCAATCGAATACTACTACTATTTTCCTGTTCCTTCACGAGGACAACGAAAACTTTGGATGGTTGAATAAGTTTTTCATCTATCCATCGACAGTCATCCGTTGAGAAGAGCAAATCAACAGCTTCCTGCAGATGGCGTTTATCTATAGGAAACAGAATAAGGTTATAGTCTACGTTTCGATCTTTGGCTAACTAAACATTACGTTTGCTCCTAATCCGATGCTAGTACTAACATGGAAAAATGGTGTGAACATCATCGATCATTTTGTAGTTGATGGCATAACAAAATTCTTAGTTGCTTTTGTTTTTTCGGAAGTCCATTTGTCTCATTCGACATCGAAATCAATCGTAATAGAATGAACATTTTCTATTCATCTTTGCCAAGGAAATATTTATAAAACAAGCTATAAGAATGAGACTGAAAAGTAGAGAGCAGTTCATAGACATTTTGGATCTGTTTCACCTGAACAGTTCATTGAATGAGTCGAAAATTGAACAAATCATGCTCGTTATTTGATGCGATCTTCATCTTATCATCCTTCTGTGTGTCTATCTTGCTAGAACACGATATGAATCATCACCAAACTGAACACGTGGAAACACAACGAAAAAAAAGAACTAACAGCTAACGTTTCTATATGAAAATTTGGACGAGAAGAATCAGATAAAGTGTTTTGAACATCTTGGTAAATGGAATCGTTATCTCGATCATCATCCGAGATCGAGCAATCGTCTATTCACAGTTCGTATTTCACCCTAAAACTGCTGAATCGTTCATCTAACCTCTATTGTAGTCACGCCATCGAACGCTGGCTATTCAACACCACCTCGAGCAGCGACCTATGATCGGCGTACATCAGCTAGTCCTTGTCTTTCTCAACTTTTTCATCAACCCAAACTTTTAACAAGCGCTGAACTGAAACGACGCTTTCCACCGATTCATATCGCGAACAGGAAACGTCGATATCATCTTATTCGGAAAACTGATTGTCTCGTACCATTAGAACGAAATCTTAATGTGCCTGAAATCCTGCCGGACTTATTCGATAGTCAAACTTGCGAGTTATCTCCAACGTATCCTAGTATACATGATGATTGTATGGTTCCATTATCTTCGTCAATGGCATCACCATCATTGTCATCATTCAAAATCGTTCATCCACGTCCGAATTTCAATTACTTAATAGCTAATTGTTTTAAAACAGAGCAAGAGAACTCATTTTCGATCTCGGAAACGATGATGAAACAAAAATTCAAGTTTTTATTACAAAAGAACTAAGTGATTATTATGATTTCTTATGGTAGATATCTCCTAGTTGATTTTCTGCATGTGTGCGTTTGTTGTTCTATTAGATTTGTCACTTCTTTTTTTTTGTCATGTTTATATTTCTATAAAAAGAAAAGGCAAAAAATTCTTTCATTACAGTCATGCATTATTTTGTATTCATTGAAAACTTCTTGGCAATAATTGAAAGTATTGAAAAGATAAAACGAAGTGGAATCAAAATCATTCGGTGAATTCGAACGGATCGAAAAAAGACCAGTTTGATGATTAAACCAACAGCCGTATACCATAATAAATTTTGTATACGTTTCAATCTAAATACATCAAATAAATCGGCAAAATTCACATACTGCGATCGTCTACCGTTGGTTGCGTTGACGACATTTCGACATATGAGCCAGATCTTCTCGAAGCAGGTATTGTTTCGCGCCTAGACAATAGTTGTACCAATACTGAGTCCAATCGAGATCTTTCACATCAAAATTGAAAGTCTATACGAAAGCCATCCATTGATGATTATTCTTTTACTTCAAACAGTTTGCTTACTTTTTGATCAGTTTCAGTCATTTCATTCCGGAGACTAATGCTATTATCTAATGGAAATGTCCACGATCGCATTGTAAAGAAATTCAACGTTCGTACGCTTTTATAGATTTTATCGCATAATCTCAAGAAACTAAAAGACGAAATTCCAACAGAAAGAATATCATGTAGTCTCTTACATTGGTTTTCGACCAATTAATCGCATGTAACAATCGAGTAAAAACGCTGGGAATACTTCTTGTAAAAAGCGTTGATAATGATAACGAAATCTATGAGAAGAAAAGTAATAAGTTGTTCAGTCCGACAGAAGTTCTTCGTACCGATTAGGAGTAAATGTTAAATGTGGAAATGTAATTGCATTCTCCATACATATGGTATCAAGATGGCGTAGACCGATTTGCGTTATGTTACCCCATGTTAATGAACCCAAATGACCAGTACAGCAATGATACACTGGAATAGTTTTCGAACTAACAAAAATAAGATTTTAATCAAAGTCGTCCGATAAAATCCCAAATGTTGTTGGTTAATAACACACGTATTAAATGTGAAGTAGGATTCGGTGCACAAGCAATCCGTATTTACTTTTTTATTGCTCTATACCAACCGACAGCTATCATCATGTTTACACAAACATCGACAGGAACGATATCTGCTATAGATGACAAACTTCCTAACATTGTTCGAAGCATACCTTTGCCAGTCTAAATGCAAAATCAAATATAGTTTGATTCATTCTGGATAGTTTGGTACATACTGCAACAATCATTCCACTTGGACCGTTATAATTATCAATCCAACCCTGGAAATAACCAACACAACGTTTACTATTCAGAAAACTCTTTAACAGAATTCTACCGGCATCGGTTCGCGCCATGATGATCCAACAATTGATGGACGTATAATAGCCAATGGTAAATCGTTACCTTCTTGAGATATGACATATTCAGCAAGTGCTTTCGTGAATGTATATGTATTCGGTCGATCATTAATGAGCTTCGTAGTTAGAACATCGAACACTTGATCATCCATCCATTCACTAGCATCTAATAGTTTCGATGGTTGAATCGGTGGTGGGTATACCATTTCGGCTATATCATTACGGTTGCAATTAGCATAAGCTGTCGATACGTGAACAACAGACTAAACAAGACGAAATGAAGTCTTTTCCTCAAGCATACATCGAAAGTTTACTTGTAGTTTTTTCATTTTATGACATAAAACAAGCAATTTCTTCACTGATGCAACATTCATCTGAATCGCCAGACTAAATGAATCGAAAGTAATGTGGCTCATCAATAATAAATGTTGGTGTATACAATACCGAAGCGGTTCATGAAAACGGACAGTTGCAGCTGAATGGAAGACAATATGACAATTTTCAATCAGTGTACTTTCGTCCGATGCATTTAAACCAAAATTTGGATCGAGTATATCACCCTGCACAGCGATAATTTTTTGTTCGAAATTCGGATTTGTCGATCGCACAAGATCAAATAACTACAGATAATCGTATAAGTGCGACAAAGATTGATGGTACTGGTTTGCTTACCGTGCTCGACAGTAATTCTCTGAGACGATCAGCGACATCGTGGCCTCGCTTTGGTCTTATGAGAAGGTAAATATGTTCGACATCTTAATTGGCCGAAATATTCAATGACAAAGCGAATACAAATAATTCTCACCTGGACATGATCGAACTAGTTTTTCGACCAATTGTTTTCCAATGAAGCCAGTTGCACCAGTGATAAACACTGATTTGTTTTTGTAAAAATCAGCAATCTCACTTGTTTCTGTGCTTGCTGACATGCTATGTCTATCTGAATATTCAATAAAGGAGAACATTTATAGCGAAATGTAATACAAGAAGTCAAAGTACAACAAAAGCAATTCTTCTACGTATACACAAAACAACGAGCGATCATTGATCAATATTTTGTTTTCTTCCTTGATAATAATAGCATCAGAAATCGATCACAATGCATGAAAGACATCAACATACAAGATTGTTTAAACGGCTGAGATTCAAAGATAAAATGAATTTAAAAGCAAAACAACAGCAACATACGAGAATACAATACAATAGTCGAATTTGAACGAGCTGAGAGAAAACACCAAATATCACGTTCATCAATAGGATTTGTCTTCTAAATTCGTCATTATGAATAGAAAGAAAAAGCACAGATAAGAAGTTTAGTGTTCGTGCAAAACACGTACAAAAAGTCTTTTTGAATAAGAAGAAAAGAAAAGAATATAGGTCTGCTAGATTTGATTACCTAAGAATTGAAGTAAGATTATATAAAAGGAAACGTGACGAAGATTTCATTTTTACCGACGATGGTATCTGGTGCTAGTCGACGGCGGTGTAATTCGTGCACCACGATCTCTATAGCGATGTTCATGACCATTCAATCGATCCATCGGTGGGAAATATCCATCAAAGTATGGATCGTATCGTCGCGACAACGATGGATGCATTGGAAATCCATATCGAAAATAGCTCGGCGGTTGTAATGACGACGGTGGTGGTAGTGGTGAACGTGACCTAAAGTTCCATATGAATCCGAAATCGTCGTTTATATCTCTACGTCTCATTTCCACAACATAAAATTGTGCTCCAAACAACCAAGTCCCAGAAGAATGAAATTTTTTTATCTTTACAAATGCTACTTTTCAGTTCATGTACGACTTTCTTCTCTATCTTAGCTTTCAATATCTCCCAAAATTTGTTATACATCCAGAAAGATACAAACATACGTATAACCAATGACCCAAATTTATTGTCTTTCAATATTAGTATCCAACCATACCTCGGACGGCGATCATAGCTTGATGCTGAATGCCGACTACGATCATCAGTTCGGCGACGTGATGAACGTGCTTCTGTCATTTGACCATCGCATTCGCGACTAAATTCAAACTTCATGCGACGAAACGGACGTCTCCGATCATTCTTTACCTGAAATGTCCGCGTTGTCCACACTGATAACATCGCATGTTTGGATCGTGTCGGTTCGAACGATGTCGAGCTCTTGGTCGTGCCCATGTAACTTTTAATCGACTATCCCCAAATAATCTGAATCCAATAATTATTCTATTTCATTCACATCTACGTATATGTCATACCTTCCATCCGTTTGATCGATAGCTTTCTGTGCGTCTTCTTTATATTTAAAAACCACAAATGCGAAGCATGATGCACTAGCGACCCAGACGTCGAGAATCGTACCAAATCGTTGAAATAGTTTACGTATTTCACTGACATCGACACCAGGAGCTAGTTCGGCAACATGTACACGAAATTCGTTCGGTCGTTCACTACTATTTTCACGGTCGGAGCGAGGCGAACGAGAGCGTCGCGAGGCAGAGGATGATGCGCTTCTTGATCGTGGCATTTCTT